TGTAGACCAGGCTGGCCTTGAACTCACAGGGATCTGCCTGCCTCTGCCTCCTGAGTGCTGGGATTAAAGGCATGTACCACCACGCCCGGCAAAAATATGTTTTTTTAAAGTTTTCAAAACTACTGATCCTGAGGGGCATGGTAGTCCATGCCTTTAATCTCAGTACTTAGAAGGGAGAGGCAGGTGGCTCTCTGTGAGATCAAGACTAACCTGGTCTAGATTTCGAGTTCCAGGCCATCTAGGGTTACAGGGAGGTACTGTATCAAAAAAATCAAAACAACAAAAAACCAAAACAACAACAACCCACTGAGCCTATGTCCCACCCCTAGAGATTATGATCTAATGTGCAGCAGAGTTTGAAAGCCGCCACTCTACAGATGATGCATCCCCTCTTCCTGTTCCTAGGATGGACACTCCCTCTACCTTAGTATGCCACTGCAAGCAGTTACGACGAAGTCTGGGCCCTAGGACTTCTGGCCACAAGTTCAGTTAAGAGGCTATGGGGACACTGGGTAGTTCTCACCCTCCTGTCATGTAAGCTCCTACCTCATCCTGAAGCCGGCTCAATCCACCTGAGTTCTTCTCAGCTTCACTGGCCCACTCCTTGGCCTGGCGCTGGGCATCAGCCACTTCCCGCCGGGCTTTTTCTCTGTAGTCCTCCAGCTGGGACTGGAGCTGCTGCAGGGATTGCTTGGAGTCATCTGCGATCTGCTCCAGCTAAAATGCAGAGAAAAGTTTTCTTCAGCACAGCACCTTTTTAACAATTATTTTGTTCCTGCTTCAAGCCCAGCTTCCAAGATTCTTCCGGAAGCCTCCTTCCTGCCCAGCAGCCCTCTCTTGCTTTTCTAGGTGTAGGTTCTGAGTGTGGCTAGTAGTTAAACTCAGATGTCTGGACTCAGATCCTAGTTTTATCATTTACTAGTGACCAAAGGCAAGCTCCTATCATCTCTGGGCTTCATTTTCCTATCCATAAAATGGGATAATAATAGTACCTACATTGCTAAATTGTTGTGGGATTATGTTAATTATATAAAGCACTTATAACAGTGGCTAATACTAAGTAAACTTTCAATGACCATATTTCTACAAACTCAAGGTGACAATTATAAGATATACAACTAAAAATGAAAAATCTGGGGGGCTAGAGAGATGGCTCAGAGGTTAAAAGCACTGACTGCTCTTGCAGAGAACCCAGGTTCAATTCCCAGCACCCACATGGCGGCTACAAACTGTCCTTAACTCCAGTTCCAGGGGAATCTGAAGCCCTCTTCTGACCTCCGTGGCACTGCATGACATGGGTGCACTCACATACATGCAGGCACTCATACATATAAAACAAATAAATCTTTAAAATAAATAAATCTAACAAAATAAAACAAAACAGGGTTTTGAATAGTGGTTAAACGGTTACTGCTCAGTTGTGTATAAGTTATTTTGCTGGCAAGTATGCAAGTGTACCACATGCATACAATGCCTGTGGAAGCCAGAAGACGGCACTAGAGCCCCTGGAACTGGAGCTATGGTTGTTAGCTGCCATGTGGGTGCTGGGAACCAAACCCAAATCCTCTGCCAAGAGCAGCCAGTGCTCTTAACTCCTGAGCCACTTCTCCAAGCCCCCTAAATGTGCACTTTTTTCTAAATTGACATTGCTAGCAGTCTTATTTTGTAAAATAAGATTGTGAGAAAGAATTTTACTAACAGAAAGAAATTTGCTTTCCTTGTTTTCCTTCCTTCTTCCTCTCCAACAAATTTTAATCTTTACTAATTAAGATTCTTGTGTTTAGGTCTTCTAGACTTCTAAAGCAGAATCCTAGAACTAATCTACAAGAATGAAGACCATAAAGGAATGGGGAGTTGTGGGGAAAGGCCAAAATACTGCCCAGTAAGTAGGACATGTTTGGGCTGGGCATGGTGGCACATGCCCACAGAGTTCAAGGCTAGCCTTGGCTACATGAGATCCTGACTCAATAACCCAAAAGGACTATCATTTTTGTAAGATTTGGCCTGATCCTCTCCTTGAGGAGTACTGACATCACACATCCTGACCCACTCCTGGGTCAGCTTCTGTAGGGCCTAAGGATTCACTATCCATGTTCACCTCTTTGTTGAGTCGGTCTACAGTCCTGTCCAGCAAACGCTTCTGCTCTTCCAGCTCCGCCTTGCTCCTTCGGAGCGCCTCCCGTTGCTTCCCCTCCTCCTCTAGGGCCCGGTTCAGCGCCTGCTGTTCCTGCCCGAGGCGCATCAGTCCGCGCTGGGCCTCATCCAGCCGGACCTCCAGAGCCCGCTTAGCTGCTGCCAGGCTCCCTTCCTCCTCCTGGGCAGTATTCAGAGCCTCTTCTAGCCGCTGTTTCTCTGCCTGGAAGAGGGGAGAGGTAAGGGATTAGACTTGGAGGAGATAAAGTTTGGATGAAAGGTATTGGTGATGAGAAGATAGGAAGGTAAGGAAAATGTGGTGCTAAGGTGATGCCTTTAATCCCAATACTGAGGAGGCAAATCAAAACAGAATAAGCAAAGGGTGGCAGACAGGAGACAAAAATACCAGTGGAAAGCTTGAAATATTCACACCAAGTTACCACTGACACACTAAAACTGATGGCTAAGGATTTAGAGAGCGCCCATCTGGCCATGGCTGACTAAGTGGAGGGGGCAGGAAAGCCAGTTCGGGGAACAGAGGCACTCACCTCCAGCCGCTGCACTTTGTCCCGAAGTCGTGCCTCCACCGCTTCCCCACCTTCCGCCAGGCCTCGGGCCTCCTTTAGCTGCTGCTCCAGACCCAAGATGCGTCTTCGGAATTCGTCATTTTCCTCCTGGGTCTCCCGAAGTGTGGTTTCCACTGCTGTCCGACGCTGCCCCAGCACTATGGCCTCTGCCTCCGATGCCAGCTTGGCCTGCGGGCAGTTGGGAGCAGCAGCTCAGACCGTGGGGGTCAGATAACTAAACATGCATACTCGGGAAAACTGGCCCCCCAGAGCCCAACCAAAGCTCACTGGAGCCAGGCATAAAGAGGAGTGGCTCCAGTCAGGAGCTTTCCTGAGACTCCTACCCCTACACAGATGCAGTGGGTGTCGCAACATACAACAGTCTCCCCTGCCACATTCTGCTTTTCACCACACACATAAGCTCCCAGAATTGGTCAGTACATACCATCATAACTTTCCAGGCCCTCTGGTTCCTCAGCCCTCCAGACCCCTCAGCCTCCACCTCCTGAGCCCTGGGCCCACTCCCCTTGCCTTGGAAGCCTCTTCACAGTCCTGTCGCAGTTGCTGGAGGCTCTTTTGCAGCTGGAGGTTCTGCTGCTCCAAATCTCGGCCTCGATCAGCCTCAACCCTCAAGACTGCCAACTGCTTCTCTAACTCCTGGTCCCGTTGTCGCCCAGCCACCTCCTCGTTCTGCCGCTCTGCCCACAGCTCTTTAAGCTCCCCCTGGGTGCGGTGCAGCTCCTGGAAGGGAAGGAAAACAGTGAGGAGACACAGCCAGATGGGGGGTCCAGAAAATGGAAAAAATGTAACATACACACTGTGGAAAGGATCCAGCCATTTTAGAAGGCACTCAGGAGGCAGAGGCAGGCAGATCTCTGTGAATTTGAGGCCAGCCTGGTCCAAGTACTGAGTTCTAGGCCAGCCAGGACGACATAGTGAGAGATTCACAAAGAGTTGAACACGAGTATACTATATGACCCAGCAATCTCATTCCTAGGTTCTATGCCCAAGAAATCTAAAAATTCACACAAAAATTTATACATGACTGTTTATAATAAGATTAGCCACTGTAAGTCAGTTGTAGAAGCAAGCCAACTGTCCCTAAATTGATAAACAAAATAGTCTAAGCAAGAGGGGCTAGAGAGATGGCTCAGTAGTTAGAAGCAATGACTACTCTTGCAGAGGACCCAAGTTCAGTTCCCAGCACCTACATGGCAGTCTATTACTTGAGTTCCAAGGGATCCAACACCCTCCTCTGGCCTCTGGAAGCACTGCACAAATGTGATGCACTTACATACATGCAGGCAAAATACACATAAAATAAAAATAAATCAAAAAAAGTTTAAAATGTAATCAATACGATTTTATAATAAAAGTACAATAAATAAGCACTGATTAACTGATACTTGCAAACTGAGGACCTACCACATGTCCAGGATAGTGATCAATGAATATACAGCTAAAAGGATTGTAAGGGGGCCATAAATGCCAGTTCCTTATAATTAAGAGTTTCCTTGTAATTAAGTTATATAACATCTAAAAGTAATTAGCTGCCTTCTTATCCTTCATAAATTTAGACACCAAGATTATGAAATTGTGGTCACTTCCATTTTTTTCAACCTTACTATATGTGACTTTTATGAAATATCATCCACACATCATAAAGATGGGAATAACTTTTAAAGAAAGATCAAAGAGGGAACCTTGGAATGCTGTGTCACCATCCCACCAGCAATGCTATGCCTTGGGAAACGGGGAGATGCACATTAAACACTGGGCCCTTCAGACCCATGTCCAGATTGTGTTTTCTAAATAACATTCAGATTACAGTTTGGTTTTGCAAGTAGGTCAGCTGGCCATGCTGATACAAGCATTCTAGTTGACAGATTATATTTCTCAATGTAAATTAATAAACAGGCATTCTAGCTATAAACATTTGTTTCATTACATAGTTAATGAATTCCTCCTGAAATAGCAGCTTTTGCAGTGCTGACCAAATAAACTAAGGTTCTGAGCCTGCAAAATTGGCCCTGGAGTCTCACATGTCCATCTATATTGTGCTACACATGAGGTCTCCTAGGAGACAGCCAGCAGCCTCTGCTATACCCCAACCTGGCTGCTGACAGCCTTTTCCATTATAAAACTCTGTAACCAATGGGGAGACCAGGGCTGCTAGAAAAACAAAACTGAGCTCTCAGAATAAAGCTTGAAAACCAAGCACACAGAGACAGCCCTACATTAGCGTGGGGAGAGGTAGATAGGTAAGACAGGTGTCCATCATCCTAATCTGCCATTCTGCTCCCCAGCTGCCAAGTACCTTTTTGAGCTCCTCAACTTGATGAGTATCTCTTGCACTGGCTCGGGCCTGCTCTAAGTCCTTCTGTAAGATGTCAATCTTCTCCCCAAGTTCCTCTTCCATCTCCTCCTTCTCCATCCGCAGCTGCAGAAGTCTAACCCCAGCAAGGTTAAAGGCAAAGGATAAAATCAGGATTAGGCCTCCTACATGAGGGAGAATCACAAGACAATAAAAACCAGCTCCCTGGAGGCAACTGCATGGGGCACTCCCTCTCAAGAGGGAGTATATCTGGAGAAGAGGAGTTTAGGACTTAAAAGCACAGCACAGCAGAAAGGCAGTGGGATGAGTCATGGGTAAATACTCCTGGAAAAGGCAAGAGGTCCTTACTCCTGCTTGGTGGCTCTAAGCTCCTCCTTGTTTTTCTGGAACATGCTCTGCCAATGCCCTGTCTCCTCTGAGGTCTCCTCTAGTTCCCTTTGCAGCTCCCGTACCAGGGAAGACATCTTCTGCCTCTCGGCTTCCAAAGCAGCATGGTCCTAGGGAAGGAGAGAAATGGGTACCAGGAGCCTCAGAGGGCAAAAGAGAAAGCTAAGGCCCAGAGCGCACCATGCCAGTGGCATACTGACACCCTGATGATACAGTGCTAGGAAGCTACAGTCCACCTCCCTGCTGTCTACAGGAAGCCTGCCTCCATATTTCTCTATGAACTTTGATCATGCATCCTGATGGTACTTCTGGCCTGTGACCCATCTCTGCTCTTGTAGGTTTCCTGGCCAAAATTCTCACTACATCTCACATGTATCCTTTAGGAAAGGTTTCTGGTTGCAACCATGAAAAAATTCAAAAATACACTATCATAAGGCAGCCCCACTCCCTGGCCATGTCCTCCTCTCCCAACCCATTGTCACATGCCTGAGTTGCATCTTGCATGCTCCGGCGAAGCTGCTCTGTGTCTCGCTGGTATTGCAGCCGCACATGCTCCACCTCCTGGTCATGGGAGGCCACCTCCTCCTTTAGGGCCCCCTTCAGGGCTGTCAGCTCCCGTTCCCGCAGCCTCAACTGCTCCTCTACCCGTTGTTTTCCCTCTAAGACCTCTTCCAGAAGTTCCCGGGTCTCTAACAGATCCTAGAGAAAGGGAAAGTGCATTTAAGTGTCTATTAATTAATTCATCCATTTAGCCAAATTTCATTTATTGAGAATCTGGCAGGGTGGTATATGTTTGTGATCCCAGTAATTAGAAGGCTAAGGCAGGAGGATCACAAGTTGGAGGCCAGAATGGACAAGTTGGCAAAGCACCACATCAAAAAAGGAAAATATATTTATACCTTGATCAGATTAGTACCAGGAGCTCCTTGCCCTCTAAGCTGCCTGCAGTATAAAGGAAACCTGTCATTCTGGGGCCTAGCCTCACCCCACCTTTGAGTCTGCCTGAAGTCACACTAAAGAGCATCCATGATAAACTAGCTGCTTTCCACACTTTAGGGAAACAGTGGATGAGCAGACCTGAGGATGCTCCAGTTCAAAGGGAACCAACACTGACACGTACTCCCTTCTCCCTACCTTCAGAAGCACCTCCTTAGCAGGTTCAGGACTGTGGCCCTGTTTCAGCTTGATCTGTAGCTCCTTCACCTGGGTCTCCAGCCCCAGCCGTAACCTTTCTTCCTGGTCTAGAAGGAGCTTTGTGTTCTGGAGCCTAATAACAGATAATGTTATTGAGCACCCTGTGAGGCAGTGTGTTAAATGCTACCATTTTTTTTTCTTTTAAGTATTTCTTTAAATTTCTGTTTTTACGCATTTTGTTTTTCAATACTACGGATAGAACCCAGGGCCTTTACCATGTTGGGTATTCACTTCACCACTGAGCTACACCCCGCTCCTGTTCAAAATCTGTTTTAAATTTTCCTTTCTTTTCTTTTCTTTTCTTTTTCTTTTCTTTTCTGAGACAGGATTTCCCTGTAGCCTTAACTGGCCTGTAACTCACTATGTAGACCAGGCTTGCATAGTTCTCACAGAGATCTGTCTGCCTCTGCCTTCTGAGTGCTGGGGTTAAAGGCATACACCACCATGCCTGGCTAAATATTATTACATTTTTATTTAGTTAGTTTTTTTCCCCAACTTATTAGACCAAAAGGTCCAGCTTTTTATTGAGCATGTTAACAAGAGGTTAGTCAAAAAGACCAAAGCCCATGTCATCATCAGGCTCCTCCAAGTCTTCTTTCTTTGCTTCCACTCTCTTCTCCTCCACTGGGGCAGGGGCAGCAGAGGGGACAGGACCACCTGCTGGAGTGGCACCAGCTGCAGAGCAGGTCCACCAGCCCCTGCATTGCAGATGAGGCTCCCAACGTTGATCCTGGCCAGGGCCCTTGCAAAGAAGCCAGGTCAAAAAGGTTCAACAGTGACGCCAGCTGCTTTAATGAGAGCCTTAATCTTATCTTTCCTCACAGTGTGCAAGAGAGGGCAGAGTAGATACAGGCAAGCATTGCGGACTGCTGGCATGGTGCTAGTCACCAGATGAAGTGTGGGCCTCACCCCAACTTAACCTTAGCTTCCTTGGAAGGACCAAGCACCTTGGCAGGAGCTGAGGAAAGCTACTTTTTTTTTTTTTTTCTTTCGGTCTTTTTGAGACAGGGTCTCCCTGTAGCCCCAGCTGGCCTGGAACTCACTTTGTAGACCAGACTGGCCTTGAACTCACAGAGATCCGTCTGCCTCTGCCTCCCAAGTGCTGGGATTAAAGGCACACACCACCATGCCCAGCCTGAAAGCTACATTTTTAAAAAATGTATTTACTCTGTGTGTGTGTATGAGCATGCACCATAGCACATGGAGCATGATCCCAGGGACCAAACTCAAGTCCTCAGGCTCTGGGGCAAGCACCTTTACCCACTGAGCCATCTCCAGCCCCTGTTCAAAGCAACAGTTAACAGCACTGGTGCTCTTGCTAAGGACCCCTGTTCAGTTCCCAGCACCCACGTGGCAACTAATTCCAGTTCCAGATGGATGTGATGCCCTCTTCTGGCCCTCTCAGGTGTTGCATGCATGTGGTGCACTTACACACATACAGACAAAACACTCATACACATAAAATTAAAATTTAAATAATAAAAAAAAACTCTCAGATAGGGGCAAACCCAGGGAGCCTAACTTCAAATCATCACTAACACCATTACTGATAGAAAAAGTGAAGAGAGGGGCTAGAGAGATGGCTCAGCAGTTAAGAACACTGGCTATTTTTGCAGAAGACCTGGGTTCAAATCCTAGCACCCACATGGCAGCTAACAACCGTCTATAACGCCAGTTCCACAGGATCTGATGCTTTCTTCTGTACTCCACGAGCATTGCATGACACAGGTGCCCTTACATACATGCAGGCAATACACACACACGTAAAATAAAAAATTAAAATAAAATTAAAAAAAAAAAAAAAGAAAGAAAGAAAAAGTGAAGAGAAAATAATCCCTGCCCCCTTTCGGCCTTTAAAGATTTCTCTCTGCCTCTTTCAACTGGGAGGACTGACCTCTAGGTCCAGCCCAGGCCCCTCAAGCAGACCACATGCACCATCAGCGGCACTCACTCCTTGGTGCTCTGCTGGGCCTCTCCCTTCCTTCTCTCCAGCAGCTCCTGCAGCCGGCTGCACTCCTCTGCCTTCTCTGCCAGCTGTCGCTCCAGCCCAACTCGGGATGAGTCAAGCTTCTGCCGCTTCTGGAAAAGAAATGAAGGTTAGAAGAGCTTCTCAGAAAGAACCGGTGTAGCCCAGTATGGTAGCACAGCCTGTAATCTTGGTACTTTGGAGGCAGAGGCAGGAGAATTACCACAAGTTCAAGGCCAGCCCAGTCTATAGAGTGGGTTCCAGACTCTGTCTCAAATAAAAAAGATACAGTATAATGAGAATACCTAACATGCAAGTAAAACACACTTTACTAGAGACCTTGTATACATTTCATCTGCATTTAACCCTCATAATAAGCCTTGGAATTTGGAATGGTTTAAAATATGTACAGATTTTTGGACTAGTGAGATGGCTCAGGGGTACACTTGCTGCCAAGCCTGACAACCTGAGTTTGATCCCTAGAAACCATAGTAGAATGGAATAAATCGACTCTTAAAGCTGTCTTCACCTCTGCAGGCAGGCCATGGTCTGCATGTGCCTGTGCACACACACATGCACAACATAATAAAATTTCTTTAATGTACAGATTCTTTAACGCTCCTTTCAAAAGATGACACCTTATTCTGCACTGGTTGCATATGGGCTGGACTTAGAGACTCTCTTCTCACAAACAGAAAATGAGGAAGTGGCAAGGAAATTCTGAGATCAACTCATGAAAAAGCACTGCAGTTTTCTTTTTCTTTTACATTATCAGATCACTCATTCGGAGGAATGGTACCTGCCATATTGTCAAGGGGTTCTATAAAGAGGTCCATAAGTCAAGAACTAAAAGGCAGGTATGGTGGTGCATGCTTTTAATCCCAGCACTCAGGAGGCAAAGGCAGGCAGATCTCTGTGAGTTCAAGGCCTATCCTGTCTACATAGTGAGTTCCAGGCCAGCTGGGGCTACAGGGAGACACTGTCTCAAAAAAGACCAAAAAAAAAAGAACTGAGACCTCTGACCAATGGCCATTTGAATAAACCATTTTAGAAGCAGATCCTCAACTAGGCATGGTGGCTCATGACTGCAATCCCAGCACCCAAGACTAAGGCAGGAAGATTGCCCCAAGTTTAAGGCTAGACTGGGATACCTTTAAGCCCCTGTCTCAAAACAAAACAAAAACAAAAAAAGAAGCAGATCCACCAAACCTACTTAACTCTGCCAAGTCTTCCAGTTATAACAACCGCAATCAAAAGTTCAAATGACAGACCTGAGTCAGAATTACTCAGATAAACTAATCCCTGGTCCTTAGACACTGAGAAATGCTTGTTTTAAGCTGCTAACTTTGGGGGTAATTTGTTTCAGCAACAAATAAATAATGAGTATTATTATCTCCACTTAGAGTTAAGGAAACAAAGACTAGAACACTTGAATTTATTCAAGGTTAGACAATAGCCAGCAAATACTAGCACCAAGATTTGAACCTATTAAGCTTGATTCCACAGTCTACCATTTAACCACTACCTACACTGCTTTCCCCTTAACAAGAGGATTACAAACCAACACTACATAAAAGGCAATTCTGTGAGAGTGGAAACAGCACTTTATAGGAAGACTATAGGGCTGGGTATATAGCTCAGTTGCTAAAGTACTGCTTAACATACATAAAGCCATAGGTTAGATCCCCAGCACTGCATAAACCAGGCACAGTGATTCATACCTATAATCCCAGAACTCAGGAGGTCAAGGCAAGAGGATCAGAAAATTAAGGTCATATTCAGCTACATATCGAGTTCAAGGCTCAGTTGATAAAGTGCCAGTCTGGTCTACATGAGATCCTATCTCTAAATAAATAAATAAATAATAAAATAAAATAAATAAATGGGGCCGAAGAGACAGCTCAGCAGTTAGCACTTACAGAGGACCCAAGTTCAGTTCCCAGCACCCACACAGTAGCTCCAGATCCAAGGGATCCAACACCCCTTTCTGACCTCCATGGGCGAAATATTAATACATATAAAATAAAAATAAATAAAAATTTTAAATCAATAAAAAGGGTATGTATGTTGGGTTTTTTAAATATTTTTTTATTTACTTATTTATTTTGAGAAAGGATCTTCTTATAGCCCCAGCTGGTCGGGAACTCACTATGTAGACCAGGTTGGACTTGATCTCAGACATCTGCGCCCACCTCTGCCTCCAAGGACTAAAGGTGTGTGCCACCATGCCCAGCTGAAGGTATTTAAGTTTTAGAAAACTGGCCTCCATTTTTCATTCCTTCTCTACAACTTACTACCACAAGCAAGTCTCTTAAACTCTCTACAGTTTTCTCATCAAAAAAGGCTCTACAGTACACTTTGCACAGCCACTGTAATGATTATATATTTCTTCCTGCATAATGAATTACAGGGAAGTGCCACCACACCTAGTTTCATGCAGTGTTCATGCAGAGGTCGAACCCAGGGTTTCATGCTTCTAAAGGAGTCGGGCATGGTGGTGCATGCCTTTAATCCCAGCACTGGGAAGGCAGAGGCAGGCAGATCTCTGCGAGTTCAAGGACAGCCTGGTCTACATAGTGAGTTCCAGGACAGCTGGGGCTACTGGGAGACCCTGTCTCAAAAAAGACTTAAAAAAAAGAACTCCTAAAGGAACTGGAATGAGAAGTAGTTAAATTTCTGATGCGCTCTGCCTATCTAAGTAACAGAGAAACTCAATGTACTTCCTGGGACTAATACACTGACCTGTTTCTTGTTTCACACAACCCAAGACACTTGGTCCTGCTAGTTCAAAAAGCCAACCAAGCCCATCTCTGGGTCCCAGTACTTTCCCTGTGTTCCTCCATTCCTCCCACACCTCCAACCTCTCCTCACCTTCACCTCTTCATCCAGCTTTTTCTGCAGCTCCTCCACTTTTGGGATGAGCTCACCCTGCCCTGCTAGGGCCTTAGTAGAAGCAGGAGAAACCATCTGCTGAGATACGGGGGAGCAGGAGGTTAGGAGTGAATCCACATCTCGATCCCTGGAGGTCCTCAAGGCCCTATCCCTGACCCTTGCTCCCATCCCAAGAAGGTCACTCACCCCTAGGGGCTTCATCTGCTCCAGCACCAAACTAACTTTCCTCCTCATGGAAGCTTCACTTTCTGGGCTTCTGGAGGACAGACAGCAAAAGCAAAGATGAATGGGGGAAAATGGACAAGGACAAGGGAAAAGCAGAGGAGAGAGGAAATAGAGCTTGATGGACAAGAAGGGAAATACATGCTTCCAGTGTTGGGTGGCACCCGAACTCACCCCTCCCTGAGGATTCCATAGATGGTGGCCTTCACATGGTCCACATTGCCTGGTGAGGCTGCCTCCTGCTGGTCTCGGAGAAGGTCTGGAGTTGATTTGAACTGGAAGAAAAAAAAACGAAGAACTAGCATTAGGGAGGCAGAGGCAGGCAGATCTCTGTGAGTTCAAGGCCAGCCTGGTCTACATAGTGAGTTCCAGGACAGCTGGGGCTACAGGAAGACCCTGTCTCAAAAAGACCGAAAGAAAAAAGAAAAGAAAGGAAAGAAGGGAGGAAATGAAGGAGAGAAAGGAGGAACAAAGGCAGGGAAGATTAGGCTGGAAGTATACATGTGATAACAATGGAACACAGGTGACAGTTGAGACAAGGCCTTTCAGCATGAACACTGCTCAGGCTTGAGGAACAGGTCAGGAAAAAGTCCAAGCAGGGTATATCTCTGCACTGTTGCTACAAAGCAGACTTTGAATAAGCAGATTTCAACTAGCTGTGAGCTATGTCACAAGTAATGCATCACTGATGACAACTGATGGGCTAGAGTTTCCAAATGATTTACTTTTACAATGTGCATAAGTTTGTCTCAAAGCAAAGTTGCCCCCAACTTAATTACATTCCTGAGTAAGAAAGAAAAGCATGGAATTTCAGCAAGAGTATCAGGGGAACTTTTCACTCTCCCAGCCTGCATTCTGAAAGCTATAGACCTAGCAAATTAGCATTTGCTGGTGACTGCAACTCAGCTAATGGCTGGAATAATACCGAGTAACTCTCCATGCTTGTGAATAGTGACTTCATAGTTATTTCCATTTCCTTTAGAATTTTACCCAAGGAAGAATGCTATATATGTGGTTATTTAGTGGATAAACAGAGAACAAGAGGGGAGAGACTTTCTATGCTAGGTTATTTGAATTAACAAGGAGTCCTAGGGCTGATGAAGGGCTAGGGGCTGGAAGTGGGGAGGGATGGCATCTGACCTGTAGCACGGCGGGATCCTGTGCCCTATCCCGTGATTCCTCAAAACTCTGAAGGACCCAGTCCTGAGTCTGACGGGAACGGCTGAAGCTACTGAGAGGGCTCTGGCTGTGAGATGGCTGTTTTGAACCATCCACGTGGTTGTCATACTTCATGCTAGAGGTGCAGTGATTGGGGGACTGGTGTTCTCGATCCCTGGAGGCATCTCCTGAGACCCGGCTGTCCAGACTCTGGCTCCGCTTGCGCTGTTCACGGGGCAGTGTCCGAGTGCGGCGGCCAGTCCGGCCCCGGACCTGACCCCCAATTTGACTGTCAAACTTGTTGATGAGTGAGTCCACTGAAGACAAGGGAGCAGTGTCAATGGTGCTAACTGGGGAAATCTTTTGAGGGGCTAGCTCCAGCAAACTGGTGCTTCTATTGCTAGGACTCATAGGAGCAAGGCCTGTCAGTGAGGCCTGAGACTGGGAACGGAGTAGTCTTCCAGTCCAGTGGGTCCCAGGCTCCTCATCCGATGTGCTGCCCTGAGAAGGGGCAGGGAATCTCTTGACCTGAGAGTAGGGGTTCTCAGGAAATTCCGAATCAGAGCTCAGATTTCCCGGGGCCCCTTGGTTGTTGGCCCCCTTGATTTGGACCCCAAAGGAGTCACTCCCTTTCTCTCCACTGTTGAGCACCACAAAGGGCTGTCCGGCAATGCCCTGCACACGCACAGCAACCCCATAGGTACTGGCTCTTGCATCCTTAGCAGGGCGTCTTCCACTTCGACGTAGGGTGCCCATCTCTGAAGCATCCTCTGGCTCTGTTATAAAGCGAATTTGAACTCCATGGTCTACAGGGCCCCGAGGATCAGCCATGGTGGATGCCTGCTCCACGTGCTAAAGCGGTCCTAGAAGATGAAGATAATAGTTTTAGTCAAGGAATCTGAAGAGGAAACTCAGCTTCAGAGGAGCTGACTGCCTGGCCAGGTCCTTTTACATACAGTCAACAGTGATTCTTGTACTTTATCTGAGCAGCAGAAACACAGAATACGGGATCCTACCCCCAATTTCTGATTCTGTAGTCTTGGAGAGGGACCTGAGAATCTGCATTTCTCACCAACTTCTCCTGAGTGATGCTGATACTCTTGGTTCAGACAGCACATTTTGAAAGACTAGAGAGAGGTAGGTCATTAGTAGACAGCTTGCTTTGAGTATACAGGCCCTGGGTTTGATACCCAGCACAAGAAGAAAATCGAAACAAAATGGGTAACAAAATGGAGACCCACTGACCTGAAATAATTCCTTTCCTTTGACACAATTCTGAGGATTGTGGCTTTACTGAGATTTCAAAAGATTTCTCCTGATCTTCACACATACAACACATATAAAGGCATATGGCTCCCCCAAGAAAAGGCAGACACCAAAACCTGCCTACCAGATACCCTCATCCCCTTGAAAAAGGGGCCTCCTATCCCAGAGTTCATTTAAAATAGAGAAGACTGGGGCTGGAGAGATGACTCAGCAGTTAAGAGCACTGGCTGCTTTTGCAAAGGACCTGGTTTGGATTCCCAGCACCTATATGCAGGCAAACAACCATCTATAACTTCAGTTTCAGAGCATTCGATGCCTTCTTCTGATCTCCGCAGGCATTGCACGACATGGGTGCACTTACATACATGCAAGCAATACACTCATACATGTAAAATAAAAATAATAAATAAAATACATAAAGAAAACCACAAAATGTGGCAAACCAAACTGACAGTCTCTGGAGTGAGTGAACTGAGGACTGAGGCTGGAGACTGAGCTAGAAGCTGCTACTCTCTGAGCTTTCTGCTACGTAGCTTTCTGTCCCTTTAATTTGGGACCATATAGACAGATGTATTACCTATTCAAGAAGACTTAGGGCAAAAGGGTGTAACTCCATGGTATAACATTCAATCCTCAACACTAAAAAAAGGTGGGGGAAGGCCTTAAATGTGATTTTTTTTGAGACAAGGCTGGCCTCAAACTCCTTATATAGCTGAAGATGACCTCGAACTTCTGACCCTTCTGCCTCCCACCTCCTGAGTACTAGAATTACAGGTGTGAGCTACCAAGCCTGTTTTTTGTTGTTGTTGTTTTGGCTTTTTTTTTTTTTTTTGAGACAGGGTCTCCCTGTAGCCCCAGCTGACCTGAATTCACTATGTAGACCAGGCTGGCCTTGAACTCACAAGGATCTGCCTGCCTCTGCCTCCTGAGTGCTGGGATTAAAGGCGTGTGCCACCACGCCTGGCCCCAAGCCTGGTTTTATATAGTGCTAGATCTGGAACCCAAGGCTTCATGTATATTAAGCAAGCACTCTACCAGCAGAACTACATCTCTAGCCCTTTAAATACAAATTTTTAGTCCAAAGATCAGAATAGGTAGGCTACAGGATAGGGCCAAGACCATCCACAGACCAGCTCCCTGGTCCACATTGCAGAAGTTAAGTCAGCAAATGGAATGTGTTCCAGGTGTGCTCTGGCTCCAGGAACTTGAGGGAGAGGTTTTGTTCCAAGCAAATAAAAAAAATCCAGCTTCCTCATCCCTTCGACTAATCTCTACTAGGTGAACGACCAAGCTGGAAGGGAGGAGCCTCACATGTGCCAGTGTGCCAGACAGGAAAACAAGTATGCCCAACTCAACCTCTCTGTGGAGTTCTGGGCCAAGGAAACTTGGCAAGGTCCCTCTCAGAAGTTGTAGGAAGCCACAGTGGCTGGGAAGGAGGTGAGGAGGAAGAGTGCAGAGCTCCAGGTGAGAGAGGGTTTGGGGGAGAAACCCTCTCTTACATTCCCAGCCCTTCTCCACTGGAGGGTGATGGAAAAGAGGAAGAGAGAAAGCCATGCCTTCAAGATAGCAGGCAGGGGCCTGGAGAGGTGGCTCAGTAGTTAACAGCACTGGCTGCTCTCACAGAGGCCTGGGTTCAGATCCCAGCACCCACACAAGCACCCATACAGTGGCTAACATCTGTCCATCTCCAGGGGATCCAATGTCCTCTTCTGGTCTTTAAGGGCACTGCACACACAGATGCACTTATATATAAAGCAAAACATTCATATACACAAAAAGTAAATTTTTTTTGTCTTTTTTGAGACAGGGTCAATTTTTTTAATTATTAAAAAGGCAGGCAGTTTCAGTAATGGAAGTCAGCAAGCAGCCACATGGCAGACAAGAAACTGTATGGCAGAAGGGGGCTCCACAGAAAAAGAGTGAGAAAGCCCAGAATGTCTGGGAAAGTATGCCCAGGCTTTGGTGAGTATCCAAAAGAAGGAGATAGCAAAAAAAGAAAGTTATGCTTTTCTAACTCAGAAAAGCAGGGAGTCACTTACAGAGCTTCTACTGTTTATGTGGAGTCCCAGCAGGATCATCTCAGTTTGCCTTCATATATTTATTGAAGTTATTATTTGTTTCCTGTCTCCTCTACTAGACAATAAGCTCCTGGAGGGCAAAGACCATGACTGTCAGCTGACTCTGCCTGGCACAAGGTGGATGTAAACAAACGTTTTTTGAAGGTTGTATCCTGAACCAAGGCAGGCTCTCACAGCATTAGGAAGATCCACCCATGGGTCCTTCACGGCATTTCTTCAGCCTTAGTGATAAGACCTCTTCCAGTCATGATGGTACAATCAAGTGTGCCTAAACTGCCAGCTCTCAGAAATCACACGATTTATTCATGACAAAGTTCTTCCTTGTCAATATATCTGCAAATCTTCCAGATCTAGGTCAAGAAGTTCCTGCCTAGGCCCAGCAAAATGTAGAGCCCCTTGGCCAGCATGTCAGACTGTGCAGAGGTGGAACCCCTTAGGTCCCAGGAGGGCTGAGAGATCTTTAGGGTGGGTCAGAAAACAGAGCTCTAAATGATTCAACAAGGAAAACCCGAAACCTACCTGCCTTCAGTTACAGAGGGCAGTGGGGTGGGGCCAAGGGAGAAGGGTTACCCTTTCCAGGCCTTTCGTAAGCCTGAGGCAGGAAAACAAAGATCAGGACTGGCAACACAAAGTCCAGGGCTTGTGCTCTCACCAGATGCCTGACCCTCTTTTCCCTGTCCTGGCACATGCCCAGGGCTGTTCCCACGAACCATACCCTGGGAAGGGACTAGGACAGAAGTTAATTCAGCTCCATCTGTCTGCCTCTGCCATTCCTGGCTTAGAAGAGGAGGCGGGCAAGCTACACCTGTACCAGAGGGGCCACTTCTCCCTGAGTTACTCATTAGCCTGCCCTGCCTCAATTCCATCACCTCTGGCCCAGCCATATGTATCTGGCTTCCAACTAGGAGTGACAGGATCCCTGGACTTCTAGCAGAAAGTGGGGGTGGGGTGGTTCTGGGTGTATAGATAAATAAATAATAAATAATTGGAACATTTAGAAAGTGGAAGGAAAAAAAAAAAAGAATAGAGAGAACCACCCCACTGGTAACTAGGAAAGCTAAAACTAAAATGAAATGCTCAGTGACCTTGATCATTTGGCTCTCATAAAGCTACAGGGATAAGAAGGTTCGCTGTAGGTCCAAATAGAACTCCCTAAGTGGACTCCTCACTAGGTCCACTGAAAAAGCAGAAACCTGAGAGCCAAACTAAAGCAGCTTGGCCAGTGGGAGGAAAAAAACACAATGAAAAACTGGGCCCTTGCAAACTGGCTGGACTGGTTTGAGAGGTAAAGAGAAGGGAGGGCCAGGGAGACTGTACTCTGCAGCTTGCAAAGCAGACCAGAGAGGTTCTCCACCAAAGGCAGAGAGGCCAGACCAAGAGCATCAGCTCTGTCCATGCTAGAGGCCAAGGCTAAGGCTCTGAAGGAGGTAGAAGGCAGGAGGAACAGATATCCAAAGAACTTGGTGACAGGCCGGTGACAAGACTTTGTCTCCCTGCACCACTCCCTCTCAAGTTCCCAATGTTGCATTCCTGATCCCACACTTACCTTGGTCACTTCCCAGGCCCATAGCTCTCCCCTCCCTGGCACAAAGAGATGCAGCCCTACCCCCTCCTCCCCTCCCACATGGGTAATGGCACACAGGACTGCCTGGGAACCACAGGAAGCCAGAATCCTCTTAGAGTGAGGCAAATCTCTGAATTAGCAGGCCCCTAGGGCCAGACCCATACACCCAAATATCCAGGCTGAAACGCGGGGGCAGTTTGTCCACAAATATAGCGGTTGTTAATTATTTCCCAATTACAGCAAGTGTCTTCAGACAGGGAATCAAAGGGGCTGAGCTAAGTTTGGCTCAGCTTCCATTGCTGCCTAAGGCAAGAAAATTTACCTCAGAAGTTTTGTCTGCACCCCAGTTATATACCACTCATGTGGCCTGGGGATTTGGAGGTGTAATTCCTCTAGTCTTTTGGTCTCCTGGGAAATTCTGCCTATTTGTTATACCATTAGTGCTTACTCCTAGTTATCACCGATCAAGAATCAGGGATGCTTGCTAGGGCCTCAGAGAGTAAAGAGGATTCTGGGAAATATCAAGGAAATAAGTTGCATGCCCAAACCCCACCTCCAGCCCCCACTCTAGAACCAAAAAAAACAATGTGTGCTTGAAAGAAAGATTTGACGCCTGTAGTCCCAGCACTTGGGAGGTAGAAAACAGAAAAAAGAAAGATTTGACATCAGCCCCAGGAAAGAAGACACTTTCTAGCTGGGTGTGGTGGCTCATGCCCATAATCCCAGCCTTCGGGAGTTGGAGGCAGAGGATCAGGAGTTCAAGGTCAGCCCCACTATGAGGCAAGTTCAGAACCAGCCTAGGCTTCATGAGACCCTGTCTCAAACCCATTCCTGAAAAAGGAGACATTACCATGGAGCTATTTTATAGGCCTGGAATCTATGTCCTCTTAGAGATAACACACTTCTCTTAAGAGGTAGAAGGAAAAATTCTCCCTGTCACGAATGCAAAAGAAGACAGAAATGGAAAGTCTCTTTTAAATAATTTCACACCTAGCAAAGATGGGGCGGGGAGGTCTTGTCCTTCAGGGTCTTATTGGCAACTGCTTTTGCCCGCAGGCAAATGGTCAGAGAAAGAACCCACACCTCAGAGCCATTCCTAAAGACACAGGGGAGGTGTAAGAGGCCAGGATGGACAGGCCGCCAGGAAGGCACCTCAAAAACACAGCACCTGGACTTCAGGCAGCATTTCCCTCTTCCCAAAGGGGACCAACCCGCCCCCGCCCCCACGCTGGTCTCCAGGAGAAATTCTGCCCCCAGGGCTGGCGCCTGACCTCCAGAGACCGTGGAGCTGAAACGCTTTCCTGCCCTGGGAATAGCCTTACCCTCCGGAGCCCAATACCTGGCACCCTCTGGGCAAGCTGCTTTGGGCACTGTGCAGCAGCGGCCAGCACCTACTTCGGCCACCCGACTCTGACCTCCCTCCTCCTCCACTCAGCACCTGTACCCAAGAGGAGGGCATCTAATGCCTCCACCACCGCCCGTCAAAGGTACTCCTGAGGCCCCGCTGGCCGCTCAGGAGCTCTCGCCCGCGCCCAGCTCACTCACCCCGGCCGGGCTCGGCGCTCCCGGGCTCGCGCTCCGGGCTGGGGCTCGCGCTCTGGCAGTGCTGCACGCGCGGCTCGAGCCCTGCCCCTCTGCCCTCTGCGCTCCCTCCTCTCCACCTCCCACCAACCTGTTACTCCCGGGAGCTCCGCCCCCATTGGCCGTCACCACCCGCCCCGCCTCACCCCTCCTCCGGTTGGTCCGCTTCCCGCAAGGGGCGGGGCGGCCGCCGCGGACCCGGACCCGGGGTCGCCAGCCGGGCGGGAGGGAGGGCAGCGGGGTCACGTGGGCCGGAGAGGCGGGGGCGGGGCGCCAGGGGCGTCGGAGGCCATTTTGGGGGCGCAGGGGCTGGTGGCTCGGGTGTGGGTCCGGGGGTCACCCTTCGCGGGCAGCGGGAGCATCCAATCTGCCCCCGGCCACCCGCGTGCGCTGCTCTCGGTCCTCAGCCCTTTCTGCCCTTCATCTACCTCCGTGTAGGCGGGACGATGTTCTGTCACTTTGTGCGAAAAAGCTCCGTGGTCCCCCGACGTCAGCGCGTCCTGCAGCTCTGCTCGCTTGCCTTCTCCGCAGCCCAAATCACGACCCCAGAAGTGGGTTCTCGTTCCCAAGGTCCTGGCGTCCATCATCGTTTTGCAACCTGATACTTTTTTCTTTGTAATATTTATCATCTAACATAATTTTGGAAAATCATTTCCATCGTTTTGTCTCCCTATGAGAAGCTCCGCCAGGGCAGAGATCTTGTTTTTCTCTTGTTCGCTTCATTTCAAACGCCTAGAACAGAGGCCAGCACCTATTAGGCGCTTAGTATTTGTTGAATGAATTAATTGGAACCCAAGTGTTGTAAATTTACATACAATTAAGCAGAAACGGGCTCCGCCACAGATTGTAAATCCACCACTCTCGAAAGCCTGTCAAGTAGGGAGACTGGTCCGGTTCCCCCGAAAGGGTAGAGTCTGGGTGCTCGGCATGCATACTGCAGGCACCTGGCTTATACCTGCAGCAGTTAACGTTAAATCTGGCTCCTAGTCTTAGAACACCGCTGGGATTAAAAAGGAGCTTGGCTTCGCTTACCTTGCTGGGCTCTAGTTTTCTCCTTTATTTGTTCAATAAATATTTATTGTGCTATATTTAGGTTTGAAGAGGACTCTTTAATGCAGCCCTCAGCCCGGTGGCCTTCCCTAGAGCTGATTTCCTCCCCCTCCCCCATCCTTCAGAAGCTGGGTGTGGACCCTGGAGGGGAAAGTCCACCTACCTGTTCTTTATAGCTGGTTGCTAAGTCTCCACATTCCAAAGGAAGCTTTCTTGAAGGAATAGAGCCCTCAAACCCGCCTAGGCTCCTAGGAGCAACAGTAAGAAAAGGTGCAATAAAGGCGGGCATCAGAAGAGGTGGTGTCCCTCCTGGATCAGGTTATTTCCGATGGGGGTGGATAGTTGAATTGGCCCAGATACAGGAAAAGTGAAGGTACATCAACTCTCCTAGGTAACCCCTTAAACTATTAGGACATTTAGTGTATTTTTGTAGTAAACAGACGTAGGATCAATACCCAGCACTACCAGTGCTCAGGAACCAACTGGGAGCCCCTGAGTCACCATCAACCAGCATGGTCATCTGTTCCTCAAGACAAGCAATCTCAGAGGGACATTATCTTCAGGCTCAGGTGACCAAAGTAACAGTCTTTTTTTTTTTCCTGGAGGTCAAAGAGAGGTGATACACACCTCTAATCCCAATTCTCAAGAGGCAGAAGCAGGGGGATCTATCCCTGTGTTCCAGGCCAGCGCTTGGTCTTCATAGGGAGTTCCTGGAAAGTCATATAGTGAGACTATGTCTAGAGAGAAAGAGCTTGAAAGCAGAGCCACCAAACTCAAAGCAGGTGTTCTCTGTTCTTGAAGACCCTATATTAAAAAAACAGAGAGAGTTAGAGAAGTTGAGTCAGACTTTAGACACTAGATTGCTGGATCTGCCAAAGAGAAGAGAGACTGATTCTCTCTTTGAGGCTGAAAACTTTGGAACTGTTGAAATTATCTGCAAGCCTAAAAAAAGAATATGATAGAGGCCAATTGAATGGCACAAATGATTTGCTTTATGGGAAAGTCTCCTTTTGCCTGAAATAAGGTGATGCCTAATCTGAACCTTTAGAAAATAAGTAGGTTAAGACTATCAGGGACCAATCATTTCTAGAGTTCATCACTGGAAGAAAAGAAAGCAGGTCAGGTTACTGGGGATACAGCTCAGTGGAAGAGTGCTTGCCTGTCACGGCCAAGGCTCTGGGTTTGATCCCCAGTGTGGGGGAGGGAGACAGACAGCACTTCCCTAGAAGACAAATAGGTGAAAGGGAAAAAGGAAAGAGAACAAGAAAACGTACAAAGGTCTGGGGCAGAAAAACATGTTTACTGAGGGAACTGGAAGGAGAGAGAGCCTATAGGTTAGGTTGAGCAAAGGAACAGGAGAATAGTGGGAAATAAGGTGGAAGGTTTTAAATAGGATAAAGTGTGTATACTTTACATCTAGCCCAGGTTGGCCTTGATCTAACAATCCCTACCTCAGCCTCAGAGTTCTGGGATTACAAAAGTACCCCAACACACCCACTTATTGAAGGATTTGGAGTTAGAAAGTGGCCTGGTAGAAGGCTAATCTAGGTCTTTGTAACAAATGCAACGGCAAAGCTTCATGGAGGTAGCAAACCCTCAACATTAGAGCAGTGGCAAAGGTAGGACAGGGACAGCTAACCCTGAGGCATTCTCAACATGTTACTCGATGTTTAGTTCTAGAGTTGCTTACAAATACTTTATACTTTATTGTGATTATTATTAATTTAAATTTTGGAGACAATAATAATACCAATAATAATAACAACCTATAATTATACTAACATTTGGGGATTATCCTGGTTGAGTTAAATTTCTATTCTGTGTATAGTTAGGAAAGCAAATAAAAAAGTTCACAAGCTGGGCGTGGTGACCCACGCCTTTGATCCCAGCACTCAGGAGGCAGAGGCAGGCAAATCTCTGTGAGTTCAAGGCCAGCCTGGTCTACATAGAGAGTTCCAGGCCAGCTGGGGCTACAGAGAGACCCTGTCTCAAAAAGACCAAAAGAAAAAAAAAAACGTTCACAGATGAGCCACGTACAGGTGGCTCACACCTAAAATCCTACTATGTATGAGGCTGAGGCAAGAGAATTGTCACAAGTTCAAGGCCAGCCTGGGCTACATAGTGAGTTCTGGACTACTATGGGCTACAGAGTGAGAGTCTGTCTCAAAAAAGAAGGAACGGAAGAAGGCAGATAGAAGGGAGAGGGAGGGAAGGAGGAGTAGGAAGAGAAGAAGGAAGAAAGGGAGGGAGAAAAGGAGGGAAGAATAGGTCACAGAAACCCTATATGTACTCTTCCAACCTTGGGGGTCCCAGATCTCCAAGAGTCCCCAGAAGGTATTTCCTTTTTCTGACGCACAGTCTCCACTCTTTTCTCAATTTTACTTGAGAAGCAGAGCCACAGATTTCTGAGAGCATGGAGCAGAGCACTGATGCAGGCGTTAGGAGGCCTGTGTTACAAGGGCACCTCCAGGAAAGCTGAAGTTCTAACCCAGTCTTCTAAACTCTATGATTCAGGGGCTGGAGAGATGGCTCAGTGGTTAAGAACACTGGCTGTTCTTGCAGAAGACCCGGGTTCGAATCCCAGCACCCACATGGCAGCTAACAACTGTCCATAACTCCAGTTCCAGGGGATCTGACAGTCTCTTTTGTCTTCCTCAGGCATTGCACGACAGGGGTGCACTTACATACATGCAGACATACACACATACACATAAAATAATAATAAATAGAATATTTTAAAAAAGAAAATAGAGTGTCATTTAAAACAATCAAAAACCTAGCAAGAAAGTCACACATCTCCATTTCCAATGAAATTAAAAAGAATGGGCTCCTTCCATATAATTTTTTTAAGCTATTAAAACACCATTTTGAGTAGAAAGCCAATTTTTCTCCACACACCCAAACAACAGCTGATTCCACCTTCCATCTCTTTCCTTTCCTTGGCAGCTTAAACCTATACACACATCCCCAAAGGCCCAAGACTTCTTCAGTTCTCACTTTCCACTGTGGCAAAGAATTTTAGCAAAATTCTACTGATTGCTTGATTTACCTCAATTCTGTATCTGAATCTTTTTCAAAGTTTATGTCTCATAGAACAGAGGCAAGATGACATACAGAAATAACACTGGACTGGGCTAAACAGCTGACTGAGTCAGTAAAGCTTTAAAAGTGTGAGGATTTGAGTTCAATCCCCAGAACCCAGGTAAACAACTGGGTACAGTGGCATAGACATGTAATCCCTGATGGTGAGATGGGTGGCAGAGACAGGCAGATCCCTAGAGTTCCCTGACCAGCCAACCTAGCCTGCTTGATAAAGTTCCAAGCCAATGAGAGACCCTGTCTCAACAAAGGGTGGAGGATTTCCTGAAGAATGACACCCAGGGCTGGAGAGATGGCTCAGTGGTTAAGAGCACTGGTGTTCTTGCAGAAGACCTGGGTTCAAATCCAAGCACCCACATGGTGACTAACAACCATCTATAACTTCAGTTCCAGGGGATCCAACACCCTCTTCTGTCCTCTACAGGCACTGCATGACATGGGTATACTTATATACATGCAGGCATAACGCTCATACACATAAAATAAAAATAAATAAATGAAAGAATGGCACCCAAGTTGTCTTCAAGGCTCCACATACTCATGAGCACACACACACAGAGAGAGAGAGAGAGAGAGAGAGAGAGAGAGAGAGAGAGAGAGAGAGCACTGGATTCAGAGACAAAACACCTGACATAGCAACCCTAGCTCCCTTTAAGAATGAAGCCAAAGAGCAGTCAGTGGCCAACTTGCAGCGTCATTACCTTTGGGATCCACTACATTGTCAACTAAGACTGACCTTCCTAGATAGCCTCTAGCCAATTCAGCATAGTGTGGGTATTGGGAACCTGGCAGTTCCTGCCTTCTGCTGGACTCCTCTAAAGGGTTCTCTTTGCTCGTGAGCTTCCCATTGGCAGGATCTGCCCTGCTATTGAGGCTTACCTTGCCCAGTTTTGCTTCCCACCTCTAACCTTTTCAAAGGTATCAGGTCAGCATCACTACCCAAAGGTTTCTGTGTTCCTGCTTCCTCCCTGTCTTGCACCCACGTTACTGTCCAATACAGCTTTTGCACTCCTAACTTCAACTCCACACCTGCTTCCAAAACCACCTGAACAGACTCAGTGGTTTGAGAAATGGTCTAAAAAAGCAGGTAAGCCGGGCATGGTGGCGCACGCCTTTGATCTCAGCACTCGGGAGGCAGAGGCAGGCGGATCTCTGTGACTTCAAGGCCAGTCTGGTCTACACAGTGAGTTCCAGGACAGCTGGGGCTACAGGGAGACCCTGTCACAAAAAAAGACTAAAAAAAAAAAAGAAGAAAAAATAAATAAAAAAGAGGTAATAAGATGGGATTTGAGAGCTGCATTATTCACTGTTTGACTGGCAGTAAGAATCTCTCCTGAGCTGGGCCTGGTGGAGCATGCCTTTAATCCCAGCACTCTGGAGGCAGAGGCAAGAAGATCTCAGAGAGTTCCAGGTCAGCTGGGGCTACAGGGAGACCCTGTCTCAAAACAACAACAACGAAAAAGATCTCTCCTGGTACACATTAAACTACCTAGGAGGTTGAGGCAGCAGGGGATGGCTTTTAAGTCCAAGAGGTCAGGGCCAGCCTGTGCAAAATAGTAAGA